ACCCCCACTTTCCTGTTGATCCTGTGTGCCCAGATCTGTGCCTGCCTCCACCAGGAAGGAAATTGCAGGGACATCTGAACTTATCCCTTGTTTCTAGACAACATCTGAATCTCATAAGCATGATGAGCATGAGCATGATGGACCCAAAACAACCCAGGCAGGAGTTGAGGGGCTGATGGTTCTCATAGGAAGGTGATATCAGTGGAGGCAGGTACTGTCAGGGCGGACTTCCTGGAGGTGGTGGTAGAAAGTAAGATTGGCCTTGAGGTCTCCTACCTAGATATTCTCATTCTCGATCTATGCATTGCCTTAGCTGTCCTCACTTTCCTGCTCACCCTGACAAATGGCAGCACAGAGGGTTGATTGAGAAAGGTAGACAGCTCCTTTGCAGGCAACTCCAAATTTCCTACCTTCTGACATAAGATTGTGTGGTGAACCAGATTCTGTTTACTGTTTCTTCTATTCCTCCCATGCCCTCTTGCCATTGCTCCAGAATTGGGCAGTGAGGCTTTCCTCTCCCTTTTTCCCCAAATCCCTGGAGTCTGTTCTCTTTCCATTCCAGCTGCCCTTCCCTGTCTGATCTCCCCCCGCACCTCTATTCTAAATTCAGACAACGGCCCGCATGTGGGTTTGCTGCCTGCCCTTTCTGGCTTCACTTAGTTCATCAGCCTCCTGAGGGGTATTCCCTAAATGGGAAGCTGTCACTTCACTCCCCTGCTAAAGCCCCTTAGTGCTCCCTGACCTGTCCCTTCAAACATGTCTGCAGTTTCCCTGACATCCGCAGCCTGGCACCAGTCTTCCACCCTCTGCCCACCCCTACCTCCTGACACCTTGCTGTGCTGTACCCCCAAGTCACCTACCTGAACCCAGCCACCAGGTGCCATCAGAATTTCTGGCCCCCCACCACGTGCCCTGCCTGCATCAGGAGGCAGGGAACAAGGGAAACAGAGCCAAGCCCACCTTCCCTTCCAGTGGCCTGACTTCAGCCACAGGACCCCAGTGACCAGGCAGTGAAAGTGGAAGGCTTGAACACCTGACTCAGACATGGACAAAGAGGAGCATCAACATTCACGATTAATCCTGAAATGGCCAGCTCACCTCTCGCTCAGGCATTGGGCTCTGCTGGATGACCTCTCACTTTATTAAGGAGGAAAGGGATTCTGGAAGGTCTCCTTCCTTTGAGGGATGATGGCGGGGGTAGCAACCCCCTCCTTGTTCCCTGAACTGAAAGAGATATGAGGAAGTGTGGGTGGGTCCTACTGGGGTTTCATTAGTAAAAGGGGAATGTGGAGATCAAAGGGGGCCAGTGCATCATTTTTTTTGGGTCATCATCTGTCTGGTGTCCAGGCTTGGCACTGCCCCTGAACAGGAGGGAGGCTGAGCAGCCAGAGGAGTCCAACAGGAGATGACCCAGAGAGTGCTGGCCCTGTGAGGTGGAAGGAGGACCCTGTGTGACCCAATGGAGGGGAAGGCGAGGTGCTGTCGACTCACTGTAGAGGCTCCCGAGAGGCCAGGCCTGCCTGAAAGGGTGTGGTGAAGATATTACGGTTTCCCCTGAGCACCCTGGCCCAGGGGCTTGAGAGGGATGAGCGCCCCCACCCAGAAACCGGGCCATCCTCTCTATGGTGCTGTCTGCTGGGCTGCGAAGGGCCTGGGGCAGTGGAAGGATGGCTGGAGGGTCTCTGAGCCCCCTCCTACTCGGAGATGCAGAAAGTCTGGAACTCAGTGAGTCACCGCTGGCTCCGGTGTGCTGACTGATGACGCCGTCTTCCGGTGTGCCTGGCGCATTGGCTCACCGGAGGAGGACGCGGCTGCTCTTGTCAGTTCCAGCTCCGGGGTCAGTCGCTGGGCTTTTGGGGCCCGAGGAAGGCAGGTCCTCCACAGTCTGGAAGCGGGAGTGGACTCCCCCCTGTCCAGGTATCTGTCATACATCCATTCCTGCTGGGCCAGACTCCAGGACTCTCCACTATGTGACCTTGGAATTGTTTCCCCCTTTGGCCTCAGTTTCCCCACCAGAAACTCAGTACCCTGGGACCTTTCAAGTCCATCTTAGTTCTGAAATGCTGTGTGTGTAACTCTTCTTAGGGAGGGTGCTTCAGATATAGAAATGTGGGCAGGGGGTAGCAGAGGGCTTGACCAGTCCTCAAGCTCACTCCCTCCCTCCCTCAAGTGAGAGGGATCTTGTATGGGATGCCGGTGGGCTCTGAGCTGACTTTCCTCTTGCCAGTAAGAGGGAGTGCATACCCTTTGCAACCTGGCCGCTTGTATCCACATCCCAGCTTGCCACGTACTTGCTCTGTGACCTCGGGGAAGTTGCTTAGACTCTCTGTGCCTTAGTCATCTCACCTCTAGAATGAGGTTAATGCTAGCAACTACCACATAGATTTTTGGGCAAGTGAAATGAGTTAGTGCATATTTATTGTCTGGAAGCATGCTTGGTACATACTTCGTGTTTAACGAATGTTATTCCTTAGCAAATAGAGGTACAGCAGACCTGACATTCTCATTCTGAACGTGACACATGGCTGTGGGGGTGGAAGTGACAGCAAGATAAGGAAAAAAACTGAACACAAAGTGGCAAGATAATAATAGTTAACACATGTGGAGCCCTTAGGGGAGCCAGGCTCTATAGCTTGCTTACATGTGGTGATAGATATTAACTGTAGTTAACACTGTTAATAAAACTGTATGTAATTACTTAGAGAAATTGGTTGATGCTGTACAGTAGTATCTACGAGATCAATATGGCTATTGTTCCATTTTACAGATAATCAAATTGAGGCACAGAAGAGTTTGACTCACCCAAGTCCTATGGCTAAAACTGTTGCAAATGGGTCCCCCAAATCTATTGTACCAAATGCCAGGATGTAGGGTTAAATTGTCTCCAGTGCAGCTGCAGAAGCCAGTGGCCCAGAGAGAGCACTGGGGAATACTGGTGACCAGTATTTGAGGCACTTGTGTGGCTGGGCTGGATGAATCCAAGTCCATCCTCAGGGAGTGAGGAAGCCAACCTTGGCTGCAGGGGCCAGGCATGAGAGGGTCACTGGAGCTTGGGAAGTCCAGAGGAGGGAGACATCTGGGTTGGGGAGCAGCTGACAAGCCTAGCAGACCCAGAGACCACATCTCAGAGGGCGGGCCTGGGACAGAAGAGTCCTGGGTGTGACCCCGCAGAGCAAGGAGCACCAGGTGTGAAGTAGGGGGACGGTAAACTCAAGAGTGGTGCAGGGTAGCCTTGAGGCAGGGGCAGGTGTGGACCAGAGTGCCAGGAGGGGCTGAGGACATTACCACCCTGGGGAGGTCTCCAGCTGAGGGGAGGAGCAGAAAGGTTAAGGCTGGGACCTCCAGGTTCGCTCTCCACCTGTTTTGCTGTGAATGTGTGTCCAGCCAGGCAGGGGATGGACTGCAGTGGGGAGAGCAGCAGGAATAAACACCCTGGTCAAGTTGCAGAAGAGGCCCATGTTGAGAGTTCCCCCCCCCCACAAGTCACTGTGATGGGGGCACATATGTTCCTGGTTCATATCATTGCCGAAGAGCAGCCTGGTGACAAAGCTGGGGTGGTGGGGTTGGGGGCCCCTGTTTAATCCTCTGTGGCTGTGATTGGGGAGCCTGTTCTGCTGGGAGCAGCAGGGGTGAGTATCCTGCAAGTGTGGGGGCATGTGTGTGTGTGTGTGAGAGAGAGAGAGAGAGAGCGAGCAAGTGCTGTCGTGAGCACATGTGTATGTTTTTGTGTGTGCCCACCCACACTCACATCTGAATCTGCCTTGGCAGAATGCGTGTGCTGGTTTGCATGTCAAGGATCTGGTAAATATGCCTTAATATCTGCATTGCTGAGTGGTTGCATCTACTCTGTGTGTTGCTGTGTTCTGCGAGGGTGCGTCTGTGAAGGAGTGTGTGTGTGGCATTGTCTGTCCATCCCTGAAGGAATCTCCATCTTTGTGTGTTGTGCACGTGGTGTTTGCATTGATGGCTGCAGGAGGGTGCACTGGGGATTCATGTCTCTCTTTCTCCCTATGGGGATCACTTGTCACGATGCTCTTCTCTGTAGACCTGTTTCTGTGTATTTGTGTGTGTGTGTGTGTGTATGTGTGTGTGTGTGTGTGTGTGTGTGTGAGAGAGAGAGAGAGAGAGAGAGAGAGAGAGAGAACAAGAACATGAGAGAGGACATCAGCAATCAGCCAACCCTCAAAACAGTCACACTCACCCTCCTTTTCCAGTGCTAATTACTTAGTCTCTAGAGCAACCAAAGGTGGAAGCTGGAAGCCCTAACTTTTCCTCAACTCTCTTGTTTCTAGTAAAGGTTACAGCAGGTTTTATAGTCCCGTCTCCACAGGAGAACACCTGGAAAGCTCTAAACAACACCAAGGCCAGAGGACTTCCCTCTCAATTGAATGGGGGTAGTTTTCTGAAGCTCCTCGGTAGTTCTTTCGGTAGCTCAGGTTGAGTGCTGGCTATGGGGTCGGAGCACATGTTGGGGCGGGGTCAGGGTCCTGGGAGTAGAAGCAACAAGTTGTCATTTGTGGGAGCCCTGTCTTGAAGGGGTAGTGTTACTGCTATCTCAGGGTGTCCCTGAGCCTGCCAGGCCTCCTTCCTCTAGGAGGTTTGCTTGGTGCCCCAGGGCAAAATCTCTCACTAGAGACAGAAATAGTGACTGGCTAAGGTGTCTTCTGGTGGCTCCTAGCTGGGAGTGCAGGGAAGACCCTGTCTCCCCAGGAAGGAGCCCTGGTTATGTCTACCTGGCAACACAGGTGGACTAACCCACGCATCTATATCCCCCCTCAGATTCTTGTTTGGATTCACTGGCCGGGAGGCAGGCCAAAGAGGAAGCTAAAGTGAGGAGTCATCTTCGTGTCAGCTAAGAAAGCTGAGACACCCAGAGGCAAAGGGTCTAGACTGGGACTGGATTCTGGGATCAGAACCCGGGCCCAGGTTGTGGCTGTCGGCACCTCTGCCAGAAGGACTGAGGGAGGCGCTGGAGCAACGCAGCACTGACTTGGGTGGAGTGTCCCTGACTTCAGACCCTACCAGCCTTTTACGGGAGGTTGTCCTAGTGTCAGCCTCAGATCTTGGAGACTTTCTGCACTGCCGTTGCTTCTCCAAGGCCTCTGCTGACAGAGAGGTGGCCTCCAGCTTCCATGAAGGGCAGCGGGCCAGGCCTTCTCTGTGCCTGCTGGTGGACAGGTCAGGAGTGTCAGCTTTTTGCAGACAGGACCTTGGGATCCTTTGCAAATGGTGAAGGTAACCCAGCTTTGGGGGGACTGCCAGTGTCTGTTCATCCCTGAGGCAGCCTGTGGCCACCAGAGGTGCAAAGACTCTGGGAGAGGCTCTAGAGGCTGAAGGCTGAGGGGTGTAGCAGATGTGTTGGGTGCTTCCCCAGTCTGCCAAGTTCTTCCTAAGACCCACAGGGAAGAGACTGGCCAGGCCCACACTGAATTTCTCAGAGCATCTCTTGGGGATACCCAAGACCTTACTCAGCATCTGAGTCTGTCCTGAGCAGGCATAGCAGCAGGTGGGTAAGATGGGCCCCTTTTGATTGTGCCTACTTGAAGCTGCTTTCCTTTCTGTTTTTGGGGGTGCTTGCTTTTGGCCAGCTCAAGCTTTGAGAGGCAAAAAGAGATGGAGTATGGTATATGGGTAGTCAGAAAGCAGGGGGACACAGAAGACCTGGGGTCACAGCAGCTCTGTCCATGGGCATGGGTGTGCAAGGACTAATAGTTGCCGTGCAAGCCCCCATGGGCCTCCTGAACTGGGCACCTGTGGGTTAGTGGTGATCCTGACATGGGTTTATGTAATCGTTTCAATAATGGTGGTAATAATATCATTTTAAAATTTCTGTGTGGTGTTTCACTGTATGGCTATGCTGGGGCCTATTAGCAGTGCCTTCTTGATGGATGCTTTGCTGCCCCATTTTTTGCTGTTGATGCTATTTTAAATGACGTTGCTGCAGTGAATATCCTTGCATATCCTTCTTTCTATACAAGTGCAAATTTTTCTCTAGGATAGCTACCCAGATGCAGAATTGCTGGGTTGGAGGGAATTTGTGTTAATGATCGATTTTAGAAGCAGGCTGACTCTTCCCCCATAGAACTGTGCCAGGGCTCCCACAGCCTCCTCACTGGACTCCCTGTAACCTGTCTGGTCCCCACAGCCCTCCAGGGCCTAATCTTTTGGAGCTCCTGCAGCTCTGGGACCCCAGCATGCCTTTCCGCAGTGACTTTGTTTTATATGTGGCGGCGTGAAAGGCTTTATCCTGGAGGCCAAGTAGGCTGAGGCAAGATGAAAGGAATCTATGTTTGTGAGGGGCCTGGACTCTGCAGCTGGAACAAAGCTGCCCTCTGTGCTGAGTGTGTCGGATAGAAGTGCACGGCGCTCTCGCTTGCAGCCTGGAGCCAGGTAGATCTGCCACGGATGAGGAGGCTTGGTCCCTGAGTTCACTCAGTGATCTGGGGTCTTTTTGGAGTGCTGCTCCTTACCCCTCAATGCTGGCTGGTCCAGCATTTGGGGAGAGCAGAGTGGAGAGCACCCGGTGCTCTCCAGATCAGTGGAGAAGAACACCTACCCTTAGAGTGAGGCCATGTCCTCTCTAGGGTAAGTATGTGCCAGCTAAAACTGCCACCATGGGGGAGACTTGAGGAGGCTATTATCTGCTACCGAGGAGAACGCCTTGAGTCAGCCTGCTTCTCACTGTGCTCCCAGTGCCTTGCACTGAGTTGGTGCTCAGATGTCTATAGAATAAATAATAGAGAACAACGTACATAGGCAGATGAAGGCATAGAGGGAGGTGAGCGCCTCTCTGGGCCCCACAGTAATTGCCTTTCCTTTCTCTCTAGCCTGTGCACACCTTGGGGCTGACCGGAGGCTGCTCTGAGTGGGAGGAGCGGTGCTGGCCTCCCTCCAGGCCAACGCACCATGGCCAGCGTTGTGCGGGTCTCCTTGACTGCTCTCCTCCTGCTGCCTGTGGTAAGGGCCCCGGACCCACCCCTCTATGACTAGCTCCAGGCTCACTTGAAATTTTATATGTACTTTGTGTGTGTATATAAATGACAGAGTAATTCAGACACCTAATAAAGTGTTATATACGTGTGTTTTGGATAATATTACTATAAACGTGGTAAGAGACCCAGGAAAGGGAGGGAGTCTCTCCAAGGCCTCACAATGTATTGAGAAAAGCCCTCTTGGTATCTGTGACAAAGTGGATATCAGAGCTGGCTCCTGCTGGCCCTGAAATCTGTCACTATCCTCTTCCTGCTTCTGCCTCCGCCCCAGGACCCTGCTCCTTGGGCTTAGCTAGTGCTGCTTAGAATGAACCTCTTGTTGTCCCCTCCTGTCATCTCTGTCACCTGCAGGCTACCGCCATGCATTCTGACTGCCTCTTCAAGAAGGAGCAGGCTGTGTGCCTGCAGAAGATCCAGAGGGCGAATGACCTGCTGGGCTTGAATGACTCCTCCCCAGGTGAGTGAGTGGCAGGGCAGCAGGGCATCCCCAGCGCTTTCAGCTCAGGTTTCCGCACTGCTGTGCCAACCTCTGTCGAGAGAGAGATGGAGGTGTCTTTCCTTGTAGAGAGAGATGTCATCCTTGTAGAGAGAGATGGGGGTGTCTTTCAGGAAGCTCTTGGATATGCTCTGGGCAGTATTCTGTGGCTACCTTATTTAGACTGACCTGCCCTGGATGCCTCATTCTAGAAGGACTGTTCCAGAGGTCAGGATATGACCACCTTCACTCGCATGGGCTGAGATGGAGCTGAGGCCTGGGCTGAACAGCAGCTGTCAGAGGGCTCCTTAGCAGACAGCCTGGTGGCTGCAGGGACACAGCTGTCGCTAGTGACCGAGCTGGCGAGCACCTGGTCAGCACAGAGCAGATGTGGGGTCATTTCCCATCTCTTCTGCTTATTCCTTTGAAGCCAGAAAACAAAACAGCAGCAGGAACCCCATGCCTATAGCCTGTGGGTGCTTCTCCTGGGGCTGCACTTAGCTTTGGGAGGGACTTTTTTGTGCTGGGAGGGACTGTGTGCTGCAGGGCACTTAGCAGCCTTCTCTCTCCCCAGTGTTGCCCATAAAACTCTCCAGGCCCAATGACAACCAGAAACTCCCGTGCAGCATTTCCAAATGTGCCAAGGGAGTGGCATGCCCCTGACTGAAAACCAGTACTCCTTTGTAAGCCCTCTGCTTGCCAGTCCCTGGTTGTGCAGGTGGCAAACTGAGGTCCATAGGGTAAAGGCCCAGTTGGGCCAGGGGAGGTTCTGCATGGGAAGTTGGGGATTTGGGGTGGGGGTATCCCTCAAGGCTTCATCAGACTCAGTCATTGGAAAGTGGGACTCTGCCCAGGCCAGAGGGATCCACTTTTCCCTCTGGATCCTCCCCATTTACTAGAAGCTCTTCTGAGTACCATCTGTTTAAATACTTGATTAATCTGCAGCCCAGTTAAATATAATGGTCCCTCTGGGTCCAGCTCCCCGTCCAGTCAGTGAGCATAAACTGGTAATGGAGCTGCTCTCAGCAGAACTGGCCTTTCCCTGTAGCCGAGCTCTTGCTCAGCCCTAATTAGAGGCTGAAAGTGGATTCTAGGCCCCACCAGCTAGGGAAACTGAGCAAGGGGGCCAGATAGGCCCACGGTTGGAGGAAATCGGAAAGAATATTTAACCCAAGCACCTTGTCTAAGGGATGGGAAAATGGGACATGAGGACAGTGACTTTTAGACCGTGGGGTGGGGGGAATGCAGGTTGACAGGGGTCTGGAACCCAGGTGTCCCTCCTCCCAGCCCAGGACCAATGATCCTGCATCACAGTGGCACATGCATTTGGGATTGAGCTCTGGGAAGCACCCAGGAGAGAAGAATAGAGATGGGAGGTGGGGTCCAGCTGGTGCTGTGGGAATTCAGTGGAGGGAGCAAGTACCTCCTGCTGGCCAGAGTGAGTGTAGGAGGTGGGTCACGGAGGGCTTCAAAGAGAGAGGGGTATTCAGGCTGGGTGTCAGGAGGGCGGGGTGTAAAGCTGTCTCCTGGAGGCCTGGGAAAGGCTTTCCTCTAACCTTGAGGGCCTGGAGCAGAGAGGAGAGACCACGCCCTCCCTCCCAAACTCTGCCTGAGGAAAGGTCATCCTCTCCCTGTTCCAGCATTGAGTTAGAGGATCGGGCACTATAGGACAGAGCAGAGTCAAAAGACGACCTTCAGATGGAAGAGAAGAGGAGATGTGGCCCCAACTGGACCACACCTTCATGGCCCTTTCCTACTCTGGGGTGCAGAATCTCCTCTATTAAAAGGAACAGGGTGGGGGTGGGTGGGGGGTTATGCTAATAGCTTACGTGGATCTACCTTGTGTCAGGCACTCAGAACAGTTCCTTGGTAATGTCTTCTTGTTCAGTGTTATTTTGTTATAATGTTGATGAGAAAAAAGAGAGGCCTGGCATGGACGCTATCTGTGCGTGGGCACATCCTCCTGTCTGGGTTTCCTCCAGGGCCTCCAGAGTCCTGCACATTCCAGAGATGTGCGCAGCTGGCTTCTCGGCATGTCTCCCATGTCCCAGTCCGAGCAAGTACGGGCGTGCATGTGAGAGCACTCTGAGGTCGAAGGGTGTCTTGTCCAAGGGGGTTCCCACTCCTGTCCTGGCATCAGGATAGGCTCCCAGCTGCCTGCCCACCCTGAGCTGGAATAAGCAGGTTGGAAAATGAATGAATGAATATGCAAAAGTGTTTCGGGTCTTTATTTAGAAGTTTGGTGATGTTTTTCTGACCGGAAATTCTCCGTAGGAACTTAACTCTTGTCTCTCTCAGCCTGTGGTAAAATTGGCTTCCTTCTGTGTTTTTCACTTCAAGTCAGTTCCCAAGAAGCAATGGACGGTGTGAAGTGACGACTTACTGTCCTGTGGGGCTTGACCCTCCCACTCCAGCAACCTAGGGGGAGGGCTGTTACCCCCCTATTTTATAGTTGAGGAAACTGAGGCACATGGAAGTTAGATTCCTTGTTTAAAGACAGCCTGATAGGAAGCAGAGGTGGAACTAGTATTTGGTTGGTCTGTGGGCCCAACCACAGGAAGATGCTGCCTCAACAGAATGATAGTGCTGAGCCCTGGCCCCAGCCGCGATTGCTGTTTAACTCCCTTTTCCTTGGAATGCAAGAAGACAAACCCGCCAAACAAGGGGGAAATTGCAAGAAATAGGGGAAAGACAAACTTGTTAATGCTTATCTTAGAGACCAGTCATTTGTAGCTGCATCAGCCCTGCTGTGTGGACTTGTGATGGGACTGAATTCATTTTCTAGTCTGCAAAATGGAGAGCAAAATGAACATCTACCACACAGGATTGTTTCATTAAATGACAAAATCTGAGGGAAGTGCTAAGGATGGTGAGTGGCATTTGCTTAGTACTCAGCAAAGACATTGACATTGCAGTTATTTAGAGTTGTCATCCAACACATATTTGGATGTGCAGAGATTACTCTAGGAAATAAGTCCGTACCATTTGGAACAATCTGGAAAGGCTTTCTAGAAGAGCAGAAGTTGGATTGAGGACCAGATCTGAGCTTCAAAGGGCAGATGTAAAGTCATGAGAAGGTGGCAGAGAAAGTTCCAGAAGAGGCAGAAAGTGTGGTGGGCAGGGTCTTCAGTTGCTGGCACTTAAATATCAGGGACCAGGTTCTGAATCTTTATATATATATATATATACACACACACACACACACACACACACACACACACACACAAATATCATACAGTTTAACTCACTTAAAACTCATCAGCCTACAGCCAGGTGGAGTTGCTCCTTCCATTTTATAGGTGCGGCTGTGGAGACTCAGAGGTGAGTTGCTAGCTGTTACTTTGTAAATCACACAGTCAGAAAGGGTGAGCCAGCATGTGCATCCCAGGGTTTCAGAGTCCTTGTTCTTAATCACTGCACTGCTTTGGGGCTGAGATGAAGAGTTAGGTGACATCCCAACCCTCAGCTTTCCCCCTGTAGGAAGCACAAGGTCACAGGGCAGAGAAAGTTGAAATGGTTGGAGGCTGGAGGGCCACTAGGAGAGGAGGGCCTTCAGTGTGCCCTTAGTGCAGGCCAAGAAAAGGCAAAGGGGTGTTTAGATATCTAAGGGCAAGATAAGGAGTGGTCTCAGCTGTTGGGGACCTGTCTCCCAGGCTCTAGCTCCAGTGCAGTGGAAGGAAAGAAGGCAGAGTCGGGGAGACCAAGGAGTGTCCATCCATCTCACTTCAGACCTGTGGCCAGTAGGCACTTGTCACTGCAAGCTGACTTGGGGCAACCCTTCTCAAAAGGTCTTCAGAGCAGGTGGCCTTTGATATAGAACCGGTGCTAAAGGTCTGGGATTGTTGACCCTGCTTCAGCTTCCAGGGAGATGCACCTGAGCCGCAGACCAGCTCCTTGGTCCATCCTTGGTTGCCATTCCAGCAGATTTGGGCTTCTTGTCTTTAGCTTAAACATGCTTATGAAATATGCCATCTACCTCAAGACATTGCACAGCACATTAGAACCATGGAGAATTTAAAATGCTAATGCCCAGGCCCTGCCCATGCCAACATGACAGCTTTTGGTTGAGGGGATTGTTGATGGTATGTTAAAGCTTCCAGATGATTCTGAAGTGCATCCAAATTGGGGGACCACTGGTTTGGCCAGAGAAGAGCATCCATCAGAATGGACGCTTATGCCATCTGGGGACAGAGAGCAGTCCCCAGGGCACAAGTACCAGAGGCTGACAACCCACTCCCAACCATGAATTCCATTTGAGTGTGATGAATAATTAGCAGTTGTGCTTTATGTTGTCAGTCTGTGCCAGTGGTGAATTGAGAGGGGCCAGCCCTCCTGCAGCACCCTGTCTGTGTCTCCCCTGGCCTTTCTGCCCCTAACCATATGCACTTTGCATGGAAGCACTGTCAAAGGTCAGCCAATGCCACTGAAACACACTTGAAAATGAAAAAAAGACTCCAGTATGTTCCAATGCCCGTGAGCAGGAGCTCACAGGCAGCCTTTCATATCCATATACATACATAGAAAGAGAGATCTTTTAAATCCAATAAAGCAATGCATTGGGATGGGGACACTGATCTATTAGAGGTGAGGTGTGTGCCTGGCACTGGTCATGTTGGGGGCCTGTGGGAGACTCCCAAGAAACCCCCTGCATCCCCTCAAATCTTTGAGACTCTGATCCTGGACATCCACACCAAAGAGAATGTAGGATGGAAATGAATATAGTGACCTTTAGAGTGGAAGCCAAAGGACAGAGACTTGCTGACTGGGGGCGGCACTAAAGCTCAGCAGGCTTCTGGGGTTTGGTGAGGGAGGCCGCTCTGGAGGGAGTAAGCAAGGCTTCTGACTGGGCAGTGTTGTCTGAAATATCTTGGCGCATTTATGGAGGAGAGGGGGAGGTCTGGAGATAGATTCGGTGGTTGTGTTTCTCGTTTCAAACCCCTGAATGCTGAGCAGGACTTGAGACAACACTGAGTCCAGTTATG